GGAAAAGGTAATGGATCAGCTAATGAATCAGGTAATGAATCAGGTAATGAATCAGGTAATGAATCAGGTAATGGATCAGGTAATGAATCAGATTATGAATCAGGCAATGGATCAGGTAATGGATCAGGTAATGAATCAGGTAATGGAAAAGGTAATGGAAAAGGTAATGGATCAGGTAATGAATCAGGTAATGAATCAGGTAATGAATCAGGTAATGAATCAGGTAATGAATCAGGTAATGGATCAGGTAATGAATCAGGTAATGAATCAGGTAATGAATCAGGTAATGAATCAGGTAATGAATCAGGTAATGAATCAGGTAATGAATCAGGTAATGAATCAGGTAATGAATCAGGTAATGAATCAGGTAATGAATCAGGTAATGAATCAGGTAATGGATCAGGTAATGAATCAGGTAATGAATCAGGTAATGAATCAGGTAATGAATCACGTAATGAATCAGGTAATGAATCAGGTAATGAATCAGGTAATGGATCAGGTAATGAATCAGATTATGAATCAGGCAATGGATCAGGTAATGGATCAGGTAATGAATCAGGTAATGGATCAGGTAATGGAAAAGGTAATGGATCAGGTAATGAATCAGGTAATGAATCAGGTAATGGAAAAGGTAATGGATCAGGTAATGAATCAGGTAATGAATCAGGTAATGAATCAGGTAATGGATCAGGTAATGAATCAGGTAATGAATCAGGTAATGAATCAGGTAATGAATCAGGTAATGAATCAGGTAATGAATCAGGTAATGAATCAGGTAATGAATCAGGTAATGGATCAGGTAATGAATCAGATTATGAATCAGGTAATGGATCAGGTAATGGATCAGGTAATGAATCAGGTAATGGATCAGGTAATGGAAAAGGTAATGGATCAGGTAATGAATCAGGTAATGAATCAGGTAATGAATCAGGTAATGGATCAGGTAATGAATCAGGTAATGGAAAAGGTAATGGATCAGGTAATGAATCAGGTAATGAATCAGGTAATGGATCAGGTAATGGATTAGGTAATGAATCAGGTAATGAATCAGGTAATGGATCAGGTAATGAATCAGGTAATGAATAAGGTAATGGAAAAGGTAATGGATCAGGTAATGAATCAGGTAATGAATCAGGTAATGAATCAGGTAATGGATCAGGTAATGAATCAGGTAATGAATCAGGTAATGGATCAGGTAATGAATCAGCTAATGAATCAGGTAATGAATCAGGTAATGAATCAGGTAATGAATCAGGTAATGGATCAGGTAATGAATCAGGTAATGAATCAGGTAATGAATCAGGTAATGGATCAGGTAATGAATCAGGTAATGGAAAAGGTAATGGATCAGGTAATGAATCAGGTAATGGAAAAGGTAATGGATCAGCTAATGAATCAGGTAATGAGACAGGTAATGAATCAGGTAATGAATCAGGTAATGGATCAGGTAGTGAATCAGGTAATGAATCAGGTAATGAATCAGGTAATGAATCAGGTAATGAATCAGGTAATGGATCAGGTAATGAATCAGGTAATGGATCAGGTAATGGATCAGGTAATGAATCAGGTAATGAATCAGGTAATGGATCAGGTAATGAATCAGGTAATGGAAAAGGTATTGGATCAGGTAATGAATCAGGTAATGGATCAGGTAATGGATCAGGTAATGAATCAGGTAATGAATCAGGTAATGGATCAGGTAATGAATCAGGTAATGAATCAGGTAATGGAAAAGGTAATGGATCAGGTAATGAATCAGGTAATGAATCAGGTAATGAATCAGGTAATGGATCAGGTAATGAATCAGGTAATGAATCAGGTAATGGATCAGGTAATGAATCAGGTAATGAATCAGGTAATGAATCAGGTAATGAATCAGGTAATGAATCAGGTAATGGATCAGGTAATGAATCAGGTAATGGATCAGGTAATGGATCAGGTAATGAATCAGGTAATGAATCAGGTAATGAATCAGGTAATGGATCAGGTAATGAATCAGATAATGAATCAGGTAATGGATCAGGTAATGGATCAGGTAATGAATCATGTAATGAATCAGGTAATGGATCAGGTAATGAATCAGGTAATGGAAAAGGTAATGGATCAGGTAATGAATCAGGTAATGAATCAGGTAATGGAAAAGGTAATGGATCAGGTAATGAATCAGGTCATGGAAAAGGTAATGGATCAGGTAATGAATCAGGTAATGAATCAGGTAATGGAAAAGGTAATGAATCAGGTAATGAATCAGGTAATGAATCAGGTAATGAATCAGGTAATGAATCAGGTAATGGATCAGGTAATGAATCAGGTACTGGATCAGGTAATGGATCAGGTAATGAATCAGGTAATGAATCAGGTAATGGATCAGGTAATGAATCAGGTAATGAATCAGGTAATGGAAAAGGTAATGGATCATGTAATGAATCAGGTAATGAATCAGGTAATGAATCAGGTAATGGATCAGGTAATGAATCAGGTAATGAATCAGGTAATGAATCAGGTAATGAATCAGGTAATGGATCAGGTAATGAATCAGGTAATGGAAAAGGTAATGGATCAGGTAATGAATCAGGTAATGAATCAGGTAATGCATCAGGTAATGAATCAGGTAATGAATCAGGTAATGAATCAGGTAATGGATCAGGTAATAAATCAGGTAATGGATCAAGTAATGGATCAGGCCAGGTAATGGATCAGGCCCTGTTACCAACGAAGACACCCTCGGGGGCTTGAGACATGGCTTCCAAATTCTTCCAAAGGCTGCCTGGATTGGCCCCTGTTTTGGGGCTGATCTTGGTGAAGCTAGCCCAGGGAATCGTATTGTCAGAAGTAGAGATCTCTTGCGGCCGCAACATGTTTGTCTTTGTGTGCGAACCACGCGGCAGCGAAGGTCTCCTCTTTACAGAACGTGCCTGTGAGAATCAGCTACCATTTCTTCACAGTTTCTCTCTCCCCTTGCAAAATGCTCCATCACTGCTTGCCCTTGGCCAGTCCTCCCCAAGTCTTGGAACCTGGCCCTGGGAGAGGACTGTGCTGCTGCTTTCCGCAGAGACAGACGCCGCCCCGCTGCTGTCCATTCTTTTCTCTCCCCCCTCGCCCTCCCCCGTTGTTCTCATGCCCTTCTGTGTGGTGGGTGGGAGCACCCTGGCAGGGCGGGTGGTGGAGGGCGACGAGGATGCGTTCATGCGTGCTGTGAGAGAGGCGGTGCAGGAGGAGGACAGAAAGGGTGTAGTGGCAGCACAAGACGAGGGGAGGGGAGAAGGGGAGGAGCAAGATGGATTGAGGGGAGAGGGAGACGAGCAAGAGGAGGGGAGGGGAGACGGAGAGGAGCAGGAGACGAGGTGGGGTGTGGAGAGGGAAACAAGGTGCCCAGCGTTCGTACAGGAGCAATCAGCAGAGGAAGCAAGAGCCTCTGTGGGTGGTAGTAGTGGGGATGGGAGAGATGCGGGAGGCATGGAGGCATGCCAGGGCCAGAGCCACAGGGGCGACCATGGAAGCAGGGAGAGGGGAGCACAGTCAGCGAGGGCAGGGGAGAGCGGGGGGAAAGAGGGCCTGCCCTCGTGTGACGGCTTGCCTGTGCTTTCCTCTGCTGCCGCTCACCACCTGTCCCTGCATAGCCTCGCAGCAGTGCGGCGCCAGTGGGATGCCTTCCTGCTGCCCCTGCCTTGCTCTGCCCCAACCCCTCACCCCCAAGTACCCCGGCGCCCTCTAGGCGCTCTCGTCCCTTCCACCTCTCACACCCCTCACACCCGTCAGCTCCTCGCAGCAACCTCCTTCATGCGTGAAGGTCTGCTTCCTTTCTCTGCACGTGCTGCTCCCGCTGCTGGCTCCGATCCAGTTGCTGCTGCATCGCTGCCCTCAGGCGCGCATGCCGCAGGCGCGCATGTCCCAAGCGCGCATGCCCCGGGCACGTCAGTGCCTCCATGCTGGGTGCCTGCCCCCCAACCCGCCACCTCCGAGTGGCGGCGCTATCTCCGCAGGAATGGCTGAGGCTTTGGCTCGTTGCTTTCTTTCTGATTTGGTATCACTGGGAGGAGAGGCTTCCTTTGGTGCTTGTTTTGCTTGCCCATCATACGGTATTTTGAAGTGCTTCATGAATCAGACAGCCACGATTAACTGGTCTGATTAGTCCGAGGCCAGGTTGGTTTGATAACCATCGGACAAATACCATCATCACCCAAATAAAAAACATATATGTCTTATACATTAAATAAAAATGCTTGCTGTGTCTTGTATCTGGGACGGTTTTGGGTGTCTTATCATTCCTATAAATAGACAAAAAATTATAAGAACCATGTAACATTTACAAAGTCTGTAGAAAGCACCCACGGGGTGGATTCATTGAATTCGGCCACACATTGACGCGATTCATGCGCCGCCACCTCGTGCCACATGATGGGACACATCAATGCTGCTTGTGCTGGCAGAATCCCGCCCTGCTGGCAGCATCTCATGATGCTGCGAGTATCGTTTTGCTGCCAGCAGCGAACAGAGCCTTCTAGAACGCTGCCAGCAGCACGATGGCAGCATGCTGCCATCCTGTGCTGTCCTCTACGAGTAAATCTGCCGTAGAGGAGCGGCTCGTCTTCCAAGGGAAGGGGCGCTCTGGAACGGGGGGGTAGTCGAGGTTGAGCTTCATTTTGAGCTCATGGAACTCAAAAGTAACTCAACCTTAGCTCAAAGCAGGCTCTATCATGCGTAGTAAGCACCCTGCAAGCGCGCCGCCTCTTCTCCCTAACCTCCAGGTTACCAACTTTGGGCGCATCAACCCGCTTGGTGACGATATCCGTGTAGACATGGCGAAAGAGAAGCGCCAACCGGCGGGATGCTCCAACGCCGGCTCAGGATCAAGTTGTGACGATGACGAGGGCGACGAAGGCGAAGGCGACGAAGATCATGGCGACGAGGAGGAAGAGGATTGGCCGAGGAACGGTCACGACGACAGCGAATCTGGTGACGAGGTGCCAGCCGGAGGCCTCGACGATGACGAGTGGTGGATGCGGCCGATCAGCTCTGGCGACGATGTGGAAGAGTGGCGCGCCGGTGACAATGACGACGACGGAGGCGCGGATGCGGTTGCTGATGTGGCGGCAGATGCGATGGTAGAAGCTCAGGTGGCGGCGACTGCAGATGTGTCTACGAGAGCGATGCGTGATGCGGTTGCGGATGCGGATGCGGATGCAGAGGCGGATGACGAAGCGGGAACGGATGCGGACGCGGATGCAAAGGCGGATGCCGAAGCAGGCGCAGATACGGCTGCTGTGCGGAGGCGGAAGCGGGTGACGGCCGTAACGTGGTCTGCTTCGAAGGCGAGGACGACGGGGACGACCCATGGCGCGTCTCCGACGATGACGACGTGCCTCTATTGAAGAGGCGGCTGCGTCACCGCCTAGGTGGCGCCCAATAATAAGCCCAGGTGGTGCTCTCGGACGAAGACAGCCCTGCTGAGGAGCAGCGACCCCGCCTCTCCGCTGCTAACAAGGGGAAGGGTAAGGTGGTGGAGGTGCCTGCTAAGGTCGCCCCTCGCGTCCGCCAAAGTAAGAAGAAGCGCAAGGATGATGGTGACCCGGGTTCAAGCAAAGGCGCGAAGAAGCAGAAGAAGGCCGGGAAGAGCAAAGACGACATCCTGGTCAACGAGGCGCTCGGCAGTGACGACGAATACGCGGAGGCTGCAGGCCCCATGCCTTCGTTCCCTGAAAAGGCGAAGCTAAAAGACCCCACCATCCGTAATGGTAACTCCCGCCCCCCTTCCCCACGCAGTCGCGGTACTAAGAGGACCAGGCGGTCCTGGTCTGTGCGCGAAAAGGTCAAGTGGGAGCGTCGCTATGCGGAGCTCGACTCCCTCAAGAAGACATTGGGAGAGTCTTCAGCCAGCATCGCATGCATCAGACGCTGGAGCGCGCAGGCTGCAGCGGGCATGTACAAGGGCGCTACAAATTTACGCAAGCGCATGCATGGAGCGGGCCGCCACTCACACCACCCCGACATGGAGGCGGCGCTGTACCGCTACATCTGTCTGCATCGCCCGAATGGGGTGGCGATCTCAGTCAAAGACACTCAGAAGTGGAGCCGTGAGTGGATGAAGAAACACCACCCTGGGAAGAACTGGAACGCAAGCTCACACTGGAGCCGACGTTTCCGTGACCGCTGAACCTTGTCATGCGGGTGAAGACAAAGGTTGGCCAGCGGTTGTCGGCTGGTCAGTGGTTCAATACTTGAAATCACTGTGGAATGTCAACTCTCTGTGCATTTCCCGTTAAAAACCTGCACATCCCGACTCATCCCCTCCTTGTGTGTGCTTTTTTGCCTTCGCAGAGTGCGCAAAGGACTGCGAGTCTTTTTGGAAGTTTGTGAGAATCAACAGGGCGCGGCACAACATAGACCTAAGCCGCTTCATCAATGCGGACCAGACGCCACTCTTCGTTGAGATGCCGGCCGAGAGGACCCTTGACCACCGTGGTGCGCGCTCAGTCCCGATCCGCACGGCAGGCTACGAGAAGACGCGGCTGGCAGTGATGCTCGCGTGCACGGCATCCGGGGAGAAGTTGCGCCCGTGGGTGTGGTTCAAGATGAAGAACGTGCCGAAATGTGACGTCCCCGCAGGTGAGCAACCCGAATTTGGGATGGATAGAGTGTTGGGTTGGCCCTGTTTGGCTGATGCCCCTATCTCCCTCTGTGCCTGGCAGGAGTGGTGGTCCAAGCACAGGACAACGGGTGGATGGACGAGACCGTTGTGCAGACTTGGCTCACAAAGGAGGTGGTGCCCTATCTCAACCCCCGGCGCGGCCAGAGCACGAAGCGTGTGATGCTGGTGCTAGACTCGTACCGTGGCCACATCACCCAGGGCATGCTTCGCGCCTATCGCACGCACAGCATCACCCTCGCTGTAATCCCTGCAGGTTGCACCAGTCAAATTCAACCACTTGACGTTTCCATTAACCGGTGCTTCAAGGCCGGGGTGCGACCTCGCTACGCTAGGTGGTTCATGCGTGAAGGCCTTTACCTAAAGACGAAGCACGGTGAGTCCACGGTCAGTGATCACTTGCTCCATCCCCGTTACTTCTTGATGTACGGTATCTAACGGCACGCTGCCCTTGCCTCTGACCCACCCGTAGGGAACTTGAGGAGACCCCCGCATCCCGTGGTGCTGTAGTGGATTGCGGAGGCGTGGGATCAAGTCCCCAGGCAGGTGATCATTGATGCGTTCCGCCACTACAGCATCTCAAGAAAGCTGGATGGGACCGAGAACCATCTAGTGATGTCCCACCTGCGCGCGAGGAGCACCACCGATGTCACCGAAGACATGTGCCTCGCGGGCACCACGGGCGACAACACGCGCCTGCTTGGGAAGGCTCCCGAGGAGGATGAGGAGGAGGAGGAGGAGGAGGAGGAGGAGGAGGAGGAGGAGGAGGAGGAGGAGGAGGAGGAGGAGGAGGAGGAGGAGGAGGAGGAGATGCAGGCGGAGGGTGTGATGGAGGTGGCCGTGGCCACCGGCCTGGAGGTGCTGTGCCAGGAGACCCCCCACTACTGGGGAGCGGCGGCCGAGGCTGACCGCATGATCGAGCCCGTGCAGACGGCCAAGCATGCCTGGCGAGTGCCAGACTTGGAGATGCAGGAGCCAGGATCTGCTAGTGCAGATGAGGAGGGCGTAACCGAGGGGGGCTAGGTAGAAATAGTAAGATTGGATAATTGCATGCATGTACTCCCCCACCCCTGAATGCAAGAACCGATTTTAAGACACCCACCCCCTTTATAAGAAAACCCTGAGCCCTAGAACTGTTTAGTAGACAATGTCTTAAGTCGTACACGCATGGAGGTGGCTTATAATTGGAAGCACCCAACTATAAGATACACCCGTATTAAAGACACCCCCTGTCTTCAATTCGACACTGTCTTCTATCCGGGCGATGACGGTATGTGTACTCGAACGAATCAAGCCCTTCCGCCCCCACTCACCTTCCCCACCTCCCCTCACCTAGTCCTTTGCAGCTCCTGTTACCCACCCTTCCAATCCAATCCATTGCGCGCCCAACAACCCACCCCCCCAGTCACCCGTGCCCCACAACCCAACCATCAAATTATTCTCGCTCGATCCACTACCCTCCATCCCACTCACTCGCACACCTCATCACCTCTCATCCGTTGCCCAGGATCTGTCACTCCGAGAGCTTCCGACGAAGACATTTCTCAACTAAACACAAGTATGCTTGGTCGGATCCCCGCTTGCCACATGCCCACCTAACTCTTTTGCTGCACCGCCACCACCAGCCTTGTCCGCAGATGCCTCCTCTTGCGCCTCGTCGCCATTCACAGCACTGGCACCCGAAGCACCCTCCTAAGCCGCATCGCATGACAGCGCCTCATACTCGCCTTTTTTTATTTATTTAAATTTTGAGAGAGGTGGGTGAGGTGTGACAATGAAGGTAATTTTTAATTTTTATTTTACTTAGCCTATGAGGGTGTGTCAAACATATTTGTATGCTTCTGTAGTGAGGTTAGCTATAAGGGGGTACAACACTTTTAGGGTTCCTATTGTCAGATGTTATATTCTTAGTGATGTGTGTCATATGGGGTATAACAGTAAGGGCTAGGTTAATGTACCCCAACCAACCTTAGTGAAATCATCACTACGTTCTGGACATGGTATCACCTAGGTTAGGATCCTGTGGGATCCCGTTCCTCTCGTTCACGTCCGTAGCGCCCGAGCATGTTCTGTACCCTAGTGCCCGTTACGCCCGTACTGTCCCCTAGCGCCTATTGTGCTCTTCTCTCTCGTGCCCTAGCGCTCGCTGCGCTTGCCGTCGTGTCGCCCCTGCTGTCCCGTCTCGTCGCGTTGCCCCTACTATCCCGTCGCCCCTGCTGTCCCGTCGCCCCTGCTGTCTCGTCGCCCCTGCTGTCCCGTCGCGTCGCCCCTGCTGTCCTGTCCTGTCGCGTCGCGTCCATCCCGTCCCGTCGCATGCGCCGCGCCTGTCCATCGTGCTGCATCGCGTCGTCCGTCCCGTCCTGTCCCGCCGCGTCGCGCTGCCCGTCTGCGTCGCGCTACCCGTCCCGTCCCGCCGAATCGCGCCTGCCCGTCTTGTCCGGTCGCGTCGCGCTGCCCGTCTCGTCACGTCGTGCTACCCCTGCCCGTAGCGCCGCGCCCTTGTAGTCCCGCCGTGTCGCGCCCTACCCCGCGTCTTGTAGCGCCCTACGCCTCCAACTCTGCCAGCCACGCCCTACAAAGCCGCTCTAAGTGTTTAGGGTTTCGGCAGCAGCACTTCCCACCTCTTTGCTTCCGCTATGGCGACCCCTAGGGTCCTGTGCTTTGACGCCGAGGGTAGGCCGCTTGAGTTCTTGGTCTGGCTCCTACGTGCGCGCTGCCTTTTAGAGAGTCAAATTCAGGCAGATGAGTCTCTGTGGGCGCATGCTTCCGGTGACCTTCCTAAGCCCGACGACCCTGCACCCTTAGGCGCTGACCCAAGCAGTGCAGACAGAGACTGTTATGCCCACCAGCATGCTAACCTGACAGCATGGAAGTCGCGTGACGCTGCGGCCTACATTGCCCTCAGCAGCCTCCTCCTTGAGTCTGAGGAGGCCCACTTCACCAGGTTTGCATGGCTAGTGAGTTCCTAACTGCAATCCAGGCCTGCTACGCTACTCCCACCACTGTCTTTCTTGGTCACCTGTTCCTCCCGTTCCTGTTTCCTGACCTCGCCTCGTTTGAGCACTCTGCTGACTTGATCCCTCACCTGCGCTTGCTCGATTCTAGCTACCGCGCTGCCTGCACTGACGCACAGCTTGCACTGCTCCCTCCCCCTATGGCAACCGCCTTGCATCGGTTCGTGACGCGCTTCTTCTGAAGCACCCTAGTGAGCTCACTATCGAGGTCCTTGAGTCTGCCTTCAAAGACGTCAAGAGCAACCTCCGATCGGTAGCCTCTGCCTCTGGTGCTGTGCCCCCTCCACCGTTTCACGGGTGCACTGTCCCTCAGTTGCCCACCTTCACTTCCTCCCTTGCCACTGCCGCTACTGACGTGACCGCAGGTGTTGTTACGACTTCTTCACGGTCCAGGGGTGGGAGTGGCAGGAGGGGCGGTCAGGGTGCGGGCGGAGGCGGTGGAGGCGGTGGAGGTGGCATGGCAAGCTGTGGTGGCGGGAGTACAGAGGTTGGAGGAGCCACTCGTGCAGCGGCTAGTGACTCCCCTGCTGCAGCTGGTGGAGGTGACGATCGGGTTCGTCATGGACCTGCTGGTCCACCAGTTGCAGGTGCTGGAGTGGCGGCTTGGTACCTGACTCAGTGGTAGCAGCAGCAGCAACAGCCACAGCAGCAGTAGCGGCAGCAGCAGACTCCGGGGCAGGGGTCGGGACCGTGTCAGCCGTCGCGTGGTGCCGTCCACCCTCCCTGCACCTATCTCCTTCAGACAAGTGCTCGCCGAGGCCTCCCTTCTTGCCGCACCCACCCACCGGGTCAGTGCTTTGCTCAGCTCACTGACACACTTCGTGCGGCCTACGGCGTTGGCGTCCCTGCCCCTGACTAGCTTCCCCTTGTTCAGACGTACGCCCCCACTCTGTGGGGCATGTCGGCTTCTCAGTTGCTTGATCTTTTAGGGACTCTTCATGCTATGTATGCTGTTGTTGACTCTAGTGCTTTTGACTCTCTTTACACGAATGTTGTTAGCTTAGGTGCTAGTGGTGCTGAGGTGCCTGTTGCTAGCTAAGGTACTTGTGTAGACACTAGTCTAGGAGCTGCTCTGGAGGACACTTTGCTGTCTTTCACTCTGGACTCCAAAGCTCAGCACTGCTTCTTCCACGACCATACGACGCTTACTCTGCTTCCTGCGCCGGTCTCAGTAGCACTGGCAGATCCCACTTTGGGACTAGTCACTACTCGCTACACTACTACGCTCCCGTGCCCAGTAGTTCCTTTGGGTTTCCTGACAGGCTTCCACGTCCCCTCGTTCTCCTGGAACTTGGTGGGTGTGAGGCCGCTCGTGAATAGTTTCATGGGTGTGTAGATTGAGCCTTATGGCGAGACTGCGGTTTGTGTCGACGGGGACACGTACGTGCCTCTGGCCACCTTGACCACTGAGCCGGGCTCTGGTCTCTACACACTTCACACTTGCCCCCAAGGGCAGCAGCAGCAGCAGCAGCAGTAGCAGCAGTAGGAGCAGCAGCAGGAGCAGCCGCAGCAGCAGTAGCTACTGCCCCCGACCACTGTCACTGCCCCCTGTCAGGTTCCCCCGTCTCACCAGGTTGCCGTGTCTCACCAGGTAGGTGTGTCTGGTCAGGTTTCCGTGTCTGGTCCAGTTGCTGCATCTTGCTCCTGCCGGTCGCTTGCTCACCCCACCGTTCTGTGGCACCACTGCTTGTGGCACCCGTCCATTCCTCGCCTGCACGCTATGTCTAGTCAGCGTCTTGTCTTAGGCCTCCCGCGAGTCTTGCCGACGCTGCCGCCTTGGCTTGCACCACCTTGCGGTCGCTGCGTCGAAGGTCGGCTGTACGCCACCCCTCACTCCTCCTCCCTTCGTCCGGCCACCGAGCCCTTCGAGACTCTCCACTTGGACGTCTGGGGCCCCGCCGCTTGCCTTGGCCCTGAGCGAGAGAGTTTTTTTCTGATGGTCATTGACGACTACTCCTGCTACACCACAGTGTTCCCCTTGGCAAAGAAATCACACATGACTTACCACTACGGACACTCGTGGTCGTCGTGTCAGCTGTCTTCACTCCGATCGCGGGGGTGAGTTTCGCTCCGGCGTTCTCTCTGGATTATGTAGCGGGTAGGGCATTTGTCAGTCCTGGATGCTTCCAGAGTCCCCATAGTAGAATGGAGTTGCTGAGCGCCGCATAGGCTTGGTCATGGAGATTGCCCGCACCTCCTTGACTCACGCTCGTGCCCCCCATTTTCCGTGGCCCTACGCGGTTCGGTACGCCACTCACCAGCTGAAACTCTGGCCCCGTGTCTCTTGACGGGTCTTCAGACCAGGTCCCCTAGTGCTGCATCGCGTTTTCGTGTCTGGGGTTGCTTGGCACTTGTTTGCGAAACCTCCGCTGACAAGATCTCGCCTCGTGCCATTCCCTGTGTCTTCCTTGGCTTCCTAGAGGACTCTTCTGAATTCACCTTTTACCACCCTCCCCTTCACCGGTTCTTTTTCTCCCGTGACGTCCGTTTCAACGAGTTCGTCCCCGACTACATCCGGTACCCCTGTCGAGGTCTCCCGGTTCCCCCTCCCTCTCTCTTCTTGACTTCAGCTCCCCCTCCTGCTCCCCCGGTACAGCCTCCCCCCCCTGGTCCAGCCCCGTCAGGCGTGTCCCACGCTACCTCTCCCCCCTCGGTAGCCCATCACGTGTAGCCTCATTCCCCGCAATCCTCCTCACAGCCTACTGCAGACCCTGTGGGAGCCGGTGTTCGTGGCGAGGACCCTAGAGGTGCTAGCTCTAGAGGAGTTGGAGTGTACCTGTGCAAGGTCCTGATACTGTGGGTGCTGGAGTGGAGGCTGAGCTCGTGCCTGCAGGAGCCTCTAGTCCTCGGGGAGCTAGTGTTAGTCGAGCTGTCCCTGGAGGTGCTACGACTAAGGGTGCGGGTGCACCCACTGCGGCACCTGGAGAGTCTGGGATTGGCTGCGTTGCTGGTGGTGGTGCGAACTCTGAGGGTGGTGCGACTGGTGCTGTGGAGGGCAGTCCTGGGGCT